CTCTGATGACATTACAGGCACTCTTATTCAAAATCTTCTCTCAAATGAACAAGGGAGTGATTTTTTTGGTACTAACAGCTTCTCTAGTCTCCGGACATAGCTGAAAAAGCCCTGTCAGAAACAGGCATACGTAATTCCTGCATTATTTATTGTTTGTTCTTTTTCAGTGTCTTTTCTCCGCCCAGGGGTGCATCACCAGGTTGTACAAGCGCCAGGTACACGCACACACAGCTCCCCACCAGCCCCCGTCTCCAGCCTCCCAGGGCAGAGCCTCCCCACGCTCCCCTCCTATTGCTTCCTACAAGCTGAATGGTGCTCCAGTTTTCAGGAAGAAAACATAATCCCTCACAGGAAAGCCTGTTTAGCATATGGACTTTTCTGGCAAGTTGAAAAGCCTTCCTTTTTGGTTCCTTATCAAAAGCGGAAGAAATTAAGAGATTCTTCTACGGAGCTCAGACAGTACATGCCCTTAAAACTGGAAGATGTTGGTGGATGGACCTTGCTATAAGATTGGAAACATACCAGTCAATGACAAAAATGACCTGCTCTCTGGCTCAATGTTTATTCTGGCTGCACCGCAAATTGTTGTAGCCTTATGATCAGTTCATACCTGCGGCGATACAGTGAAATGTTAGAAAAGCTACTTAGGATAAGGTCTCATCAAATGCAGGCACTAAGATGCAACAGACACAGACGTCGCCCTCAGTCAAGGGACTGTACCTTAACAGCTCCTCGAGTAGACCAGAATTGAAGGAGGGAGTTAACACAAACAGCAATACCCCAGCCCTCTCTGACCCTTCAAGATTTTAAATTTTCTTCTCACATCCATATTATTTTCCTTTAAAATGGCATTTAAAGAGCCCTTCAAATACTCATCACGGCACACACAAGCCAAGACTATAATCACAAGGCAATGAAGGACAATAATTTTCCTCTCTTGTGTAGAGGCATTAAAATAGCTGTAAGCTAGAGTAATAGGCATTTTGCACACACTAGCCAAACAACACACATAACAAAATGAAATAATGAATATTTTTTGCAAACTAAGCGTTCCGCTTTGCTGTACAGCATTAAAATGCATTTTTCCCACAACCCTCGTTTCCCAAACTGCAATGACGGCACCTCTGCTAGAGCCACCACAAAAGCACAAGGCCATGCTGGGACACCCCAGCTCGAGAGAACGGCCACGGGCAGTGTGAAGGAAGACACCAGGCACTGCCCTGCCTGTGCTTGCTGCTGCACAGGCAGCAGCTGAGTACCATGGGGACCAGCAATATGGCTCAGCACAGCTTGGGACAGTAAAAACTTAAGCCAGAAGGCAAATTTGGCCAAAGCTTCTCCATCAACACTACAAAAAAGTAGTAGAAAAAAAGTACCTCGCATTTAATATTATTCTATCTACATTGTTCGACGCTATTGTGATTATGAACATGCTGTGAAGTAGGAGTACAAAGCAATGTTCTTTTATGCTGTGAGCAATCTTGCTGTAAAATTGTGCCCATAATACGCATACTGTGCTTACACCACCACACTTAAGAATTTTAGGATTGCCTATGAAATACAGTTCCTTGTAGTTATATTTAAACATGCCATCAAAAATTCATCTACCACAACTCTACCTGTGCAAGTTCTGAGACTGGGATCTAAATTATTTTCATTGCTTAATTTTTTTCATAAAGCAATTTTCTAAGAACTCATAGAATTGTCAAATGTTTTGGAGGAATACGGGCAGAAACATTTATTTCTACACCCTCCAAAGAGGAAAACTGAAACATTTGATATGAGAAAATGTCACTGAATAGATATAAGCTGTTCCTTCTAAGGGAGAAAAATCCATCAATGTGTATTACTCAGCACTATAGCTGGTTTTTGCCTTTCATCTCACTGGCAGCATCAGTGATGGAATGATAACCCAAAAAAAAAAAAAAAGAGAGAGAGAGAGATAGAGAGAGAGAGAGAAGGACACAGAGATATACTGCAGCAACATAAAGCATACACAAGTTGAGTATTTATGTGCTGTGAGCATTGGATGATTTGGACTGACACAATCAGGAAAACGTAATGCATGAAGGGTTTTTCTTTCTAACTGATCACTCTCTTTGCTACCAGAGGGAATTTAGGCCAATACCACTGCTTTCCTAGCAGTAAGAGACATGATCTAAAGTAAAGAGGGTGTATTAGAGAAACACAGGAATCATCCAAAGATCTACCTCCTTTCATTTTTCTTAAGCACTGCACATTGCTGCTAGTTTCATTAAAATGTCTTAGGTGCTGCTTAACTGTGCCAACTCAACAAGGACATCTCACAGAGAAGCCTCTCTTCTGCAGCTGCTAAGTGCTGGCACCCTGCAAAAACATGTATAACATATTCCACCTTCAGAACGGTCCAATGTATTAATGTATTACACAGCAATCAAATGTAATTCAACTCTCCCTCATAATAAAAAGGTGCGTTAAACTGAGGACTCTCCTACCTATAAAAATCCCTTTGCTCCTTCAAAGTGGCATTTTTAATTATGTGAATGTTTCTCCCTTTCCCTGCACCCCTCTCCTCTGTGAAGCATCCTAAGCAATGGCAGAAGATCTGTATGTATTGTACAGCACACAAAGTTTTACTGGGGCGGAGGGGATGGAGTAGGGGAGGAGTGGTAAAAGCAGTTATCAACTCCACATCACATAATGAGACAAGGCAGGCATCTGCTTCCCGGACACACTCACGCCTGCAACATTCCCAAAGTGTTGAGTGTATGTACAGCTGCCTTCCCACAGCGACTCAAAGCTCCTGTCTTCTCCCATATTGCTGACGGCACAACAGCAGCACTGACAATTTGCATGTTTGTGCAATATTCCTGCACTAAACAATGCAAGGGGGAAATATATACATATCTTAATACACCTCTCCTTACGTCACTAAGAAGGTCAAGAACAGAGGATGGCCTTTTGCTGTACGAACAGCCTTGCTCAAAGCGTGCAGCTGGCAGTGGATGGCCAATGGACATTTTCTTTCTGTCACTGTTTCTCCCACCAAAGCAGCATGAGAGAAGTTGTCAGGCCACCTCTGTGTCTGCCTACAGCCAAAGACAAATCACTTAGAGATGGGTAAAGAGCAGCCCATCAAAGCAACTGATAGAAAGCTGGCTCCTTTCTGAAATACCTCTTCTCCTGCTTCTGCTTAAAAATATGCTGTTAAGCAGAGTGCATATTTTGTGATTTGTTTATAAGTTGCATCCTTTTACTAGCTATTTTTAAATAAGTATCTAAGCAATATGCACAGTCCCTAAAATCTAGTATAACAATTATGTTTTGCGTGCTGCATATTGTAAGTACCAATTTAAAGGTGGTTTTACCAGTTATGGTAAACAGTTTCCATAGAAATTGAAGTTATTAAATCACCATAATGAAAAATCCTTGTATTTGCAGTAAGATTTTCAAAACATTTGATGTAAAACCAGAGTTCAGTTTCTCAAAGGCAAAACAGATATTGCTGGGCATTTCAGAAATTGTTCAACGGATAAACAGGGCTCTCCAGAGCACTTCCAGGTGCTCTGAAACATACCAGCTGGTCAGAGGGAGCCAGATTTATTTTTAAACAGCTAGTGGGTACTGAAATAAGCTTCACTAGGTGTCTGGCATCAAAATATACTCGAAGGCCTGCACTCTTCCAAAAATCTTTTGATACTTGAACTTGTCTGAAAATGTGCCTATGACTGCAGCCAACAGGCTCTTGTTTTGTCACAGCAGCTGCTTCCCTTTCCTCCAATCCCAGATGCTCAGATGCAGCAAAACAAGCAAAAATACATATTTCGCTCGACTGGCACACAGTTCCGTAGGGCTGCTGCTTGCCAAATTCTGGGAGCAGAGTGAGGAGGGGCCAGAAGAGCTTCCCCCGCACACCTCGACCACCCCTTTGCCCCTGCCCACGGGTGCAGGTGCACAAGGTGCAAGGCAGCATGGAGAGGGAAAAACACCACCCAAACAGCAACGTCCCTCCTTTGCAGTGCACCCTCATGATACTTTCACTCCCAATTCAGTTCATCTCAAGTGTCAAGGTGAACGGAGCAATGCTGGTTCTCTACTTAAAGCAGTACTAAGAGAGTATTTGAGAATACCTGAGAGTACTAAGCGAGGCAGTGAAAGCCATCCCGGAAGGTATACCATGACCCTACATGGCAGGTAAGTAAAGTGGAAATAATCTCTCGGACTCTGGAGACTGGGAGATGTTCTGTCCAGAAAACATTTTATGACCCTTCCTCTGAAAGGCTCAATCCTCCTGTCTCTTTCCCATACAATTAAATGGTACCTACCCAAGAAGAGCCACTGATTTCAAGCATTCCCTGCTTCATTAAGGCTTACTCATCAGAAACAGATCTGTCCTAATTTAGTGATGGGACTCGGACAGATTAACTTAGCTAACTTGCATATATACCTTGATGCAGACAAATGGATTGTTTTTTCTTAATATCAGCTATTATCTTTATTTCTGCTTTGACTCATACTCTGAATCTGAGTCAAGACTTCTTGACTGCAGAGCATGGCTGACTGAGAAATTAGTCTTTACAATTTAATGGAACATGTATGTGTTTGCCTCACTCTGATAATGTATGCAGACAAATATACAGTAAATCTTGCTACTGTCAAACTTACAAAAAACCCCATTAAAAACAACAAACTTGAGGTTTAGTACAATAAGAAAACGCTAGCTACCAAACCAGAAAGATTTACTTCAATAAGCATCTAAAGTAAATCATATTTACCATGTATACATTTTTCACGAATACCACTTTGATACAAACATTAATGTACTAAATTTGCCAATAAACTTTATTTGTCTTATTTATAAAGCTGAAAAGTTAGAAAACATGAAACATGCCTGCCTCAGAAGAGTAAAAAAAATCACCTAAAAAATCAGATATCTCTCTGTTTAAGAAAATAGGTGAGTTTGTATTAACATCAAAACCAAAGCAAATCAAAAAAGCAAAGCATAAAAAGGAAATTCTTACTTTAACTTCCACTGTCTTCCCACCTTGCTCGATATGCCTCTCAAGGTATTCAGAAGACAGCAGGTCACTGCAAGAAGAGGAAAAAAAGAACTATAAGCTCGCGCATGTGTTCTTGCACTCCCTCTCAGCAAGCACTGATTAAACATTTGCATTTGAAAAGAGCAAAACCTCCAGGATACTCTTCCTAAAATGTTCATAAAAATCACTGAAATAACCACCTCCAATGGAATTACACAGTACGTGGGTCCCATTGATTTTTACTACCAGAAGGCAGGATAGGAAAAACTGAGGGGTTTTCAAAACCAGACACTAATAATGGTTTTAATTCAAGATACTTTTCTATTCGCTGCTAAAAGAGAACAGCAAGGAAATCAGGTGATTTTTTTAAAAAATAATAAAAACAAAAAGACAGAAGGATGAGAAACCAGTTGGAGCCGCCCCCGCCATCAGGCTGCATCTGAGGGAAAATGGCAGCTGCCTCCAGCACACTCCAAAGGGTACAATAGCACTGTAATGAAATGACCTTGCAATACCAATACGGTGAGCCCAAGATCACGCTAGATGGGTAGGCAAAGCCATCAGTCGCAGGAGCTGCACCACCGTATGCTCATGAACACCAGTGCAGGTGTTCATGCAGGCGGCAGGTGCCACTCTGTCCTTGGGCTCCCCGGGCAGGCCTCCATTGGGGCTGTCCTTCATGGTCCCTCTCCCCGGGAGCCCTGCAGCTTTAGCAACATCAGAGGAAAATGCTCTGGGCAACGGCAAACCCAGCCTCAAAAGTACACAAGGCTTTGGAACAAACACTGAAGAGGAAAACAATTAGACCTGAGGCAAATGTATATAAGTTAAATGCATACTGTGCTTACCAAGACACTTGCCATGGTTTAGGCCCAGCCAGAAATTAAGCACCACACAGCTGCTTGCTCACTCCTCCCCCCTGCCCCAGTGGGATGGGGAGGAGAACACACAACAAAACGCTCGTGGGTCAAGACAAGAACAGGGAGGGATCACTCACCAATTACGGTCCTGGCAAAAAAAACTCGACTTGGGGAAAAAAAAAATCAATTCAATTTGCTACTAATAAAATCAGAGTAGGATAATGAGAAATAAAACCAAATCTTAAAAACACCTTCCCTCTAACTCTCCCTCTTCCCAGGCACAACTTCACTCTCGATTTCTCTACCTCCTCCCCCTGAGGGGGACAGGAAACAGGGGCTGTGGTCAGTTCATCACACGTTGTTTCTGCTGCTCCTTCCTCCTCAGGGGGAGGACTCCTCATGTTCTTTCCTGGCTCCAGCGTGGGGTCCCTCCCACAGGAGACAGTCCTCCATTAACTTCTCTGACATGAGTCCTTCCCACGGGCTGCAATTCTTCAGGATCAGACTGCTCCAGCGTGGGCTTCCGAGAGTCACGGCCTCCTTCAGGCCCAGCCACCTGCTCCACTGTGGGGTCCTCCCCGGGCTGCAGGTGATCTCTGCTCCATCGTTACCCTCCATGGCAACAGGGGCACAGCTGCCACCTCACCACAGGCTGCAGGGGAATCTCTGCTCCAGCGCACCTCCTCCCGCTCCTTTCTTCACTGACCTTGGCCTCTGTGTAGTTGTCTCTCTCACATCCCACTCCTCTCTCCGCTGCAGGTTCGCCGCAGTTTTTTCCCCCTCTTCACTGTGTTATCCCAGTGGTGGATGCACCGTTGCTGACTGGCTCAGCCTTGGCCAGAGGTGGGTCCAACTTGGACCCGGGGATGCTTCCAGCAGTTTTTCACAGGAGCCACCCCTCTAGCCCCCCCACTCCCCCACTACCAAAACCCCACCACACAAGACCAATACAACACTTCAATGATAAACCAGTCAAATCCTCTCCCTCCTAAGTTATTTTCCAGGCAAGCAAATCATCTACATCAGAAATGTCACCAAAATTTTCAAAGATCATAAAATTTTACTGAGATTAAATCTGTATACAGATTTTATATTGTCCCACCTAAAAGGCAATTAAACTGGAAAAGATGAAGAATCAGTAAAGAAAACATGACAACAGGCACACTGACTGACAGGACAGGAGGTAACAAAGACAGACCTTCGCAGCAGAAGAGGCAAAACCAAATGTTTCTCCTTCCAACAGCAGAACACCTCGGCTAGGGGCAAACTGACCTGCTGTGGGAGTGCAAGGACAGCAGAGCAGCACCAGCGCAGCAGCCACTTGGCTTTCCAGAGCTTCGCCCTGGCTAAACAGGCAGCAGGGCCACGGACTGTTTTGCTCACACAGGCATTGGTGACTGCCCAGAGTGAGCCCCAAGCAGGACAAGGTTGGTAGCATGGGCCCTTCCATGTCAGCCCTACAACCCCTGCTTGGTATTTGCATTAATAACCCAGGTACAAAAACCAGGAGTGCTCTCATTAAATATGCTGATAATGCTAAGTTGGAAAGCATGGGGAACAAAGAAAAAGATTTAAAAAAAACTCCCACAGGAAAGACCTGGATGATCTTCAGGACTGGATATCAGAAACAGGACAAAATTCAATTGTACAGACAGCAAATTTATGCACTTAAGGGCTGGAGGGAATTTCTATTATGTTCTTTTTGGAGGACCTGGTTTATAAAGAAGAGACACATGACTGCACTTGTTCCTGGCAAAATGATTTCCCAGATCAATAGGGTGTCCTCCTGAAAAACACAACTGTCATCCCAGAATACATCAAAGAAGACGTATTTCCAGTCAAACTGAGGTAAGATTAATAATACTGGCCAAAGGAGACCTCTTTTCAAATACTGCAGACAGGTACTGGACAGCTTTGCTTAGGAGGTTCAATTACCCAGAAGCACAGAGAGGCTCCTGAGATAACTGGGGAATGGACAGCTCCTGAAGTCTAGCAAGAAATTGAGTTGCCAGGGGATCTGAATGCACCAGGGCTTATACACCAAGACGTAAAGGCAGATAATTAGGCTTTAGGAAATGCTGGCAGAACCTCAAATGTACACGGACTGTCACTGAGTCAATGGAAACTGGATGTTAAAAAAAAAGACTTTGTATCTGAGTGGAAGTGACAGAGGCAACAAAAAGAAGGATGCTAATACATTTCTAAATCCATGGGACAAGTGTCCATGGAGGTGGGGTCCCCTCAGTCACAGTCAGTTCCCAGCTGGTTGCTGCTGAAAGCAGGTCTCAGTGCCTCCTCATCAGCAAGCATTGAACCTACCTTGTGTTTGCACAAGCACTCACCAAAATACTCCTGGTGTCAGTACTGACACTCATCAAAGTATACTTGGGAGGATTCAACAAACCCACATTTCTGCGGTATTAGTTAATTCAAGTCCCTTTTGAAGAGGTACGATGAGCCCCAGAGCTGATGCAAGGGAGGGAAAATACCTAAGCAGCTGTAAACTGGGGAGGAAGAAAGGGCAAACAACTCTTCAGCCACTGCAGAACCGGCGTGACCAGCTGCCCGCAGATCCGTCCTCTAGGACCCCCGTAATTCTGATCAGGCCCATATACCTATATTGCTGCTTGGCACAGCAGCCTGCAAGTGACCCATTATTGAGGAGCACCTAGAAGAGATAATGTTGTTGGAGTTACTGCTTACAATCCTCTAATTCTTCTTAGAAGAGGAAATTAAATATTTAGGCTAATCATCCACCTGGGGGAAGCTTGAAGACTTCTATAAGGTCTGTATGCCTTTTCCAGACTTAAAATTTAGACAGATGCTCTCCTAAAACATATTTGGCTTAGCTTGCTGAAGTTAGATATATAGTTTCTCAACGTTCACTACACTTTCTTTCCAGCAAAAGTCTATGCTTCCAGAGGTTTACTAAAGCCACCTCTATGGCTTAGGGCTCTACTTTTACTCTCAGCTATTTCTGGAGGACTCAATTAGTAAACTAAGTTCATCCTCCTTATTCTTCAATGGCCACAAAAGGTTTTGTGCCAAGGAAGATGCAAGACATTATAAAATGTAAAATATTAAAATAAGTAGGCAGAACAAACAACAGAGATCAAACAGAATGGCTTAATTTGGAGGGAGTTTACAGTTATATTTGGAGGGATGACAAGGAGAAGCACAGGGTCTTCTCATGTGGGTCTGACAAAATTATTGCTTTTTAAAAAAGATACTGCTGTTAATGTTTTTATGTTCTGCAAGATCATATGTTATGTTCTCAAAGATCTGGAAATTGTGTCTGGCATGAGAAAACAGATTGATCATTCTCTGCCTTGTACGATACAAGAACTAGGAGGTAACAGAAAAGGCTAGTAAGCTCAAAACTAATAAAAAGAGACCTTTTCTAGCACAGCCCCATGTTGCAACGTGGCATCTCTTGCCACAGGAAAGCATGGATGCTGGAGGTCTGTACTGGTTCAAGCTGGGATGGACAAGGTAATGGACATAACTGAGGGCTGCCAAATAACACAGAAATTACACCTGACTCAGAAGGTCTTGGAAGCCTGGCAAAATACTCTGGGGAAGCCTCATACATGATTTTTGTGCTCTTCTGCTTCTCCCTCAGTATCTGCCTTGGACCACTGGGACAGGACAGTTGTTCAAGTGCCCCTCTGACCTGACTGGGCTGCTGTGCCTGCACCCTGCCAGAGCTCTGTTTCTCCTGGGCATTATGTAGGGTCCGCCAGCATCCAGCTCTGGGGTTGCCAGTACTCAGCCTGTGGCTCGTCTCCCACCCACCACCCCTCTGGCAGACATACTCAGGTCATTCAAGTTGTGTTTAATTTCAAAGTAGGCCAAGAGAGCTATTCCTAAAGAGGTCCATCCATTTTGCCCTCCTGCTTGGTCCTTACGGGCTGAGAATGGCTAGGGAGCTGCTGGCATTCCCCTGCCTCTCAAGGTCTGTTGCAGGTGCCTCAGTTCCCAAAATGAGTCTGGCTGGAAGGGAAATGCCATGGGGTCATCAACCTGCATGGCTCCTGGGGACCAAGCCCAGAGCTTACAAACAGACGACAGGTGTGAAATTTAAACACATTTTTAAAGCCCACCCTAAGCAACATGGCAGGCAGGAAATGTCAGGAAATATTTTATCAGTAGAAAAACCCACAAATGATGCCATGTTCTGCTTTATTATTATTATGACTCAATGAAAATAAAATATTGTAATAAACACAACACATTTTCAGATCAAATAATGCAATCACTGCTATTATAAGCCAAGCTACAACCTAATAATTATAGAGAGTCTTGGAAACTTACGCCAAAAGATACGCTTCTCTCATGAAATCACCTTATAGGTGGAATAATGTTTTGTCTTCAGCAACAGTGAGGCACGTAACTGTGTAATTTTAATACCGGCCATTACTTCAAAACAAACAAAAAGCTATAGTGAAACACTTGTGAAACACGATGAAAATTATTTAAGCAATATCAGACAGCGAGCAATCAGCATTTAAAATAATATGCATTTCAACATAAATCATATAACCCTTTCCTATGGTAGAGATGAAATAGGAATTATTTAGCTTGCCTACCAATCTATCTTAAAAGTCATCTTTGTCAGTTTTAGTAGTAGTTTTGGTATTAATTATAAAAGAAAATCTGCATGTGAAAAAAATAAAATTGTGAAAAAAAATCTTAGAAACACGAGGGGTATAGAAAATTACAGCGAAAAAAACAACTACACTATGAAAGACAATGCTGCAGAATGAGATTTTCGGAAACACTCCCTAAGGCATTGATAAAAATTAATTGAAAAGGCATGGC